GAGAAAGCATTAGCTGTCCCTTATTATGCATGGGGAATATGGAAACTCGAGATCCCACCTCGATTGGAGAGGAGAACGAAGCATTCTTAAGGGTGTAGAAACCTCTCCCTAGCAGACGTGTTTTAAAAACCTTGAAAGGGAAACTCGAAAAAAGAACCATATCTACTAATGGTGGGCTTGGGCTGCTACAAATAGTATCAGAGCCAGACACTGAGCGATGTACCATCGAGAAGGTTGAGCTCCGAAGGGGGGTGGACACAAGGCAGTCGGGAATGGATTAGAGGGTCCCACATCAATTGGAGAAGAGAACGAGTGCCATAGAGGACATTGGACCCTGAATGGGGTGAATTGTGAGATTCTACGTCGGTTGGAGAGGAAAACAAAACATTTTTATGAGGAGTTTTCTATAGAGTAGATGGTTTAGAATGCAATAATCGCATTTTCAACGACCAGCAGCAAGACTCTCCGTCCTTTACCGAGTAGTTATTTTCGCTTCGTCATGGGGCAAGTTCAAACAACCTTTTCGTACACTACACCCTGTTCGTATTGGCAAAGATATACACTTTTTCAAGAGTATGTTCTTACTCTAGGACCAATCGTTCAACAAGGTCAGCTACCTCATAATAACGGTTGAATATAGATTCAAAAATCTGCATGTCTCTCGGGAAGAACGCACCTCTAGTGTACTAGTTATCGTGCTCGCGATAAACACTAAACACTGGGTAGCCATTGGAAAAGGGAAGCGAGGGAAGCTAAGCTCAACGAGCACTGAAGAAGAATCAATATTAATGAGGCCAACGATTTAAGCTACTTTTCTCTCATACATCTAACAGGTTACCTTCCTAGCAATCAAATTCAACACTAAAAGGACAGAACACAAATCGCGAACAATTCAAGGAGAAGAATCAAAATAAATCAAAATCCAAACAAACAATCACAGAATTCACAACCAAAAACACAAATCCCAAAAGAAACCACAAGAAATTTTAGAAACAGACCTCCGGCGGTTACGTTTAGCAGCCTCGCGAGACTTGCGCTTCTTAACATCATGAGGATTTTCAAAGAATTTCCGTCTCTTACACTCCTGAATCACGCCGGCTCTCATAACCTCTCGCCGGAATCTATTCAAAAGCCGCTCCTCCGGCTCATTATCATCTACAATCACCTGCACATTATAAGCCGATCTGAAGAACATAGTATTAGCAAAGGCCAGTGAGGGGCAGATAACGGAGGCTAATTCCGCCGATAAGGGCTCGGAATGTTTCGAAGCCTGTTGGGGGCTTAGAGCAACCGATCCATCTCTGGATTTTAGTGTCTGAAATTGAGCAGCCGCCTGATTCGCCGGAGAAGGAGAGGCAATGAGGGGCTGAAGGGGCTTTGGGGGCGGTGGTTTCGAAGGTAAGAGGAAGGAGAAGAAGCTGGAGAGAGAAGCCATGGATGGGTCTGGCAATTCAGTGTAGAGTTCGCAACTTCGAGAGTTCGATTTGTGGATAAGTTTCCCAATCCATTTTTCTTTTAATTTCGCCAAAAATAGAATAATTAAATAATTAAAATAACATTTTTTGTATTTTTAGTATGTCTAAATTTTTAATTTTTTAATTTTTAAAATTTAGAATTATATATAAAAAAAGTAATTTTATTTTAATAAATATAATATTTTATACATAAATAAATAAACTAATTAATAATAGTTTATATTCCGCTCAATATTTAATTAGTCATTTATAAATAAAGATATTCATTTAACCTAGGGACTTGATCTGAGTAGTGGAGAATCGGGTTGGGGACGAGAATTTTATTCACCATCCCGAACCCCACCAAATCTCCGCCCTATATTCTGAATATAATATTGTAATACTATAATTTTTAAAAATTATATTAAGAATTATATTATACTTTATTTTTTTAATTTATTAAAATATTTTACCTTAGTTATTTCGACCGATATAAAATATTTTACTTTGGTTACCTTAGTTATTTTACCTTAGTCATGATCAGTAGAGATATGTTAATTGTTCCCGTTCCCATCAATTAATAATAATATATTTTTCAAAAAAGAAAAACGGGGCCAAATTGAGACTGTTTCCTGTTCTCGTCTCCATTTAAGCTCAAGATATCTTTGCCTCCTACAGCTCATTTCTTCGTTTAAATGAGAATTCTTCGTCCGAGAAAAAATATAATAACTTAAGCTCACCACTAATAGATATTGTCCGCTTTTGTTCATTACGTATTGTCGTCAGCCTCACGGTTTTTAAAACGCGTCTACTAGAAAGATGTTTCCACGTCCTTATAGAGAATGATTCGTTCTTCTCTCCAATAAACGTGGGATATCACAAACAACTTTGTAAGCTATCTGAGAATATTATATTATGTTACGAGAGTGGTTTTGGTGACACGAGTGACCCAGTGACATAGTTAATGGCAACTTGGTTTGTCGTTATTGATGTTAGCCATTATGACTAGGAATCTTTTAACTATATAATATGATCACATTATTAAAAGAGAAAGCAAACGCCACAACGAATTTCTTAATCATACTTGTATATCTTATATCCCTCTCGTTTAAATACGATATCGGTCTGTTTGTATCTCATTTCTCTGCTCAAGCATCATGAATATCTTATCTACTGAATTATACTCGGATTGTTTTCTATAAACCTGTGAGATCCCACATCGGTAGGAGATGGAAATGAAGCATTCTTTATAAGGGTGTGGAAACCTCTTATAAAACTATGAGATTGATAGCTATACGTAACGAGCCAAAGCGGATAATATCTGCTAGCGATGAGCTTGTGCTGTTATAAATGGTATCAGAGCTAGACACTGGAATGTGTGCTAGCAAGGACGCTGGGTCTCAATAGGGGTGGATTGTGAGATCTCACATCAATTAGAGAAGAAAACAAAACGTTTGTTATAGGGGTGTGGAAACCTCTCCCTAGTAGACACGTTTTAAAACTGTGAGGTTGAGAGCTACATGTAATGAGCCAAAGCGGACAATATCTGCTAATGGTGAGCTTATGCTGTTATAGATAGTATCAGAGCTAGACACGGGGAGATATGCGAGCGAGGACGCTGGGCCTCAAGAGGGGTGGATTGTGAGGATCCCACATCAATTGGAGAAGAAAAAGAAATGTTTCTTATAAGTGTGTGGAAACCTCTCCCTAGTAGACGAGATTTAAAACTGTGAGACTGACGACGATACGTAATGGATAAAAGCAGACAATATCTACTATTAGTATACTTGTCACGAAACCAAACATAAAACCGCCCCATTGTCCTTAAATTTATCAAAAGAAAAAAGAGACAAGAATCTAGAGATTAGTGAGGAAAAGCATGATCCAAATGGGATTACCAATAGAAGTGTTTGGTTGAGGCATCTTCTCTATAATTGGTTGGCTTATAAAATAATGCAAAAAGCTTCAAAGATGATTTATTTAATTACCATAATTTCCCCCAATGAATAGGACAAACATAATGGTTGCATCACTTTCAATGTTTTTTTTTTTTTTTTTTTTTTTTTTTTTTTTTTTTTTTTTTTTTTTTTTTTT